GAGAATGAACAAATCACAGATTCTTGATTTTATTGCATTTTTACAAAACATCCCAACTTCTCTGGAATTGGGGTTGTAATTCATTTTGTAGTTCAGCAGTTCAGATAAATGACGTAATAAGCCAAACAGTAATTAATTTGAGGAAATCAGTAATTAGTGACCTGCACTGAGCAAATCATTTAAAAATGATTATTAAAGAATATAAAACACATATGTTAATTTTCCTCCACTAAACTGTATCTTTAAATCACATCATTACAAATGATTAAATCAAATGAATGATAAAACCTTGACTCTCCTGTTACAAAAACATTGCTTTCTATTGTGTCATTATTTTAAGCAAATATGAAGGTAAACAGAAGCAACAGTCATGTACTATAACATTACAGCTCTAAAGGACTTTAATATTCTATTATGATACTTCAGATTATGTAAATTAAAAGGATAGTTCAGCCAATAATGAAAATTTTGTCATCAAGCTGTATGGGATAAATACTATGGAAGTCAATAGTTATCGTCCCAACTGTATAGTTTAAAACCTTCTTCAATATATCTTTTGTGTGCAACAGAAAAACGAAAACTGTACAGGTTTGGAACAGAAGTCTGTAATGGTGACAGAATTTGAATTTCTGGGTGAACTATCCCTTTAACAGCATTATTCTGAACTTTCAGATTCACTTTCATTTGGTATGTGAAAATAAATGTTTTTTTTTTTTTGTTACTGATACATCATTACTGTTATATATTTAAAAAATAAATAACTGAACATGCGTCTCTTTAATGCACATTACTACGCATGATTGCCACGTCCTTGATCCAAATAACAGATATGAATGTACTGTAATTCGCAGGATGTTCACAGCTGTCCTTCATATATGGATGGGTTCTTTTGTACTCCAGATGCTACTGCGCTTGTTTGACCACATTACCATGATTACTTAGCTTGGTTAGAAAGCAAAGCTGCCTGAGCTCGGCTGAACACACGCACTGCCAATACCTTCCACTCTTTCATCTGCAACAGTTTTTCCTCTACACTACCCAGAGCTGCTTAGTTCCACTGCGTTCTGTTGTCCTTTTGGGGACATTTTCCCCTCAAATGAGAGAGAATGATGCATTTCTATGAGAAACACTGTAAAAGACAAGCAAATTTTCTCCGAAGTTGGCAGATAAGCTTGTTTTGGTTGTTACATAATATATTGGGCTTTTTAGTGCCAACTAATCAGTCAATTAATGTGTTTTCTTAATGGTGAATGAATTCCTATGAGTCAAAATAATGGTACTTGCAGAATGTTTTCACAATAATAACAGATTTCATCATCATAAACATTTAGGCACCCACACAAATTGATATTAAGTACAAGATCCCAAACTCAACAAACTGTCCTACATCTACAAAATAGTCCACGCTCTGTCTCTGTTCACAGATCACATTATTTTAATCAACAGGAGGAAAAGAACACATTGAGAGGTCAATATGTGAGCATGGACCTGAATATGATTATATCATAATCTCATGATTATGGTAAATCTTTTTTATCCTAATCCCTCATGGTCAGTGAAGCTGATTTTCCTATGAGGTTTGTTGCCGTCAGTTTGAGACAAATGCATAAGATGATGCTAAACACTCATTAAAGTTATTGATAGACTTAAAGGGGTCATATGATGCGATTTCAATTTTTCCTTTCTCTTTGGAGTGTTACAAGCTCTTGGTGCATAAAGAAGATCTGTAAAGTTGCAAAGACTAAAGTCTCAAATCCAAAGAGATATTCTTTATAAAAGTTAAGAGTCAGCCACGCCTACCTAAAACGGCTCGTTCTAACACGCCCCCACATGTCTACGTCGCTATGTGGGAAGATTTGCATAACGCCGCCCAAATGTTCACGCAAAGAAAGGCGGCGTAACTTTTATTCTCGCTGTAGTTTTGTTGTTTCCGCCGCCATGTCGTAAAGACGCTGTGTACTTCGTTGTGAACGCGAACCTACTTTGTTTGGTCTTCCAAAAGAGGACGATATCTGCTTCGTCATGCCTAGAGCTGATCCGTGCTGGTCACTGAGG